CAACATCAAGCCAATAAGCATGTGTGACATGTTACAAAAATCGGAAGGTGCGCAGTTCGCAGACCCTTGCGTCCGCACAAAAAACGAAGTGTACTTTGGCTTATAGACACTGTATTATACATGCCAGGCCAGTAGTTGGCAATGTCACACTGTAAAGAAACACTACACGAACATGCAATAAGCATGTGCATGACATCACAGTTTTCACAAACTCCCGTTTTTGTAGTTTACACAGAGACGATAACGGTATCGTTTTCGAAAACTTGCACGATGAAACCCATTTTCAAAAGTTTTTAGGTCCCCAAAACACTGTTGTGTGAAGCAGTTTTCTGCATTTAGTTGAAAATGGTGTTGCGGAAGCGCTCCCTAAATGAACCACATTTTCTAACAGACTCTTGTAGCATTACTAGCTCCTCTATAAGCAACTAAGAATCAGTATTATATATATATATATAACCACTTACTGATGATCGCACTCTAAAGTAAAACATACTGTACGTGTTTGGTGTATATATAAGAAAGGATTCCCCTGCAATGTGTGGGCACACCCTGTTGTGTGAGCACGTTTGTTACGCAGGGCCATTAATCAACATACACACTATTCCCAACCTCTCTGCTGACGATGAAAAACACACACAACTCCATAAGCACTTACAATGTACTGTTCCCTGTAACAACAAGCCAGCAGTTCTGAAGGAAAAGGAAGGCCGCCATACTTCCTGAGAGAGAGAAAACACAGTGCACAACCCCACCAAAAACCCTCACAAACACTCACTGCCACCGAAACATGAATGAAGAGAACCATACTTCCTGAGAGAGAGAAAACACTACAGGCAGTGCACAACCCCACCAAAAACCCTCACAAACACTCACTGCCACCGAAACATGAATGAAGAGACTATAAATATAGCCACAATGAGAACACAGAAAGAGCACAAATACCGGCCCCTTAACTAGACGAACACAAGTATACATACACACAGAGCCGGGGGTAGTCATTTTTATCACAGTGGGAAAGAGGAAATGTGATTTACAAATGATGAGAAATGAAAGCAGCGGGGAGGCTGGGTGACAGCTATAAAAGCATCTGGACAAATGTCAAATACATAAATACAAATGTATACACTAGGGCTGTGCAGTATTGCAGTACATACAGTGTGATTATAGAAATGGTTGTTTTTAGTTGTTTACGGTTGCTACAAATTTATATTAAGTACTAATTTCTATCTCACCGACCCCAAACTTCTGAAAGGTAGGTTATTTCAAATGTTGATTTCACTGTTTTGAGTCTGAGTCTGCTTTTTGTAAGTGTTATATAATGTAAGACTTATCATTCAAATGTTAATAAATACATTTATCTTCGAGTTCTGAATAAAAACAGAGAATAATCAAATAACTAAAAATGTGTCATAATATGAAATGTACAGCAATTGTAGCAACAGCAATTCATGTTGACTATAAAGTGAAAAGCAAGTATTGAATACCGAAATGAAAGCAGATCTACATGTGATTGGCTTGACTACATACATAAGCAGAGAGAAATCACAGGAAGAATATGTTATGACTTTTGGATTCAAATTTGGTCAAAAATATACAGTGGTGTGAAAAAGTGTTGGCCCCCTTCCTGATTTCTTATTTTTTTGCATGTTTGTCACACATTAATGTTCCAGATCATTAAACAAATTGAAATATTAGTAAAAGATAACACAAGTGAACACAACATGCAGTTTTTAAATGAAGGTTTTTATTATTAAGGGAATACAAAATAAAAAACTACATGGCCCTGTGTGAAAAAGTGTTTGCCCCCTAAACCTAATAACTGGTTGGGCCACCCTTAGCAGCAACAACTGCAATCAAGCGTTTGTGATAACTCGCAATGAGTCTGTTACAGCGCTGTGGAGGAATTTTGGTCCACTCATCTATGCAGAATTGTTGTAATTCAGCCACATTGGAGGGTTTTTGAGCATGAACCGCCTTTTTAAGGTCATGCCACAGCATCTCAATAGGATTCAGGTCAGGACTTTGACTAGGCCACTCCAAAGTCTTCATTTTGTTTTTCTTCAGCCATTCAGAGGTGGACTTGCTGGTGTGTTTTGGATCATTGTCCTGCTGCAGAACCCAAGTTCGCTTCAGCTTGAGGTCACGAACAGATGGCCGGACATTCTCCTTCAGGATTTTTTGGTAAACAGCAAAATTCATAGTTCCATTTATCACAGCAAGTCTTCCAGGTCCTGAAGCAGCAAAACAGCCCCAGACATCACACTACCACCACCATATTTTACTGTTGGCATGATGTTCTTTTTCTGAAATGCAGTGTTACTTTTACGCCAGACGTAATGGGACACACACCTTCCAAAAAGTTCAACTTTTGTCTCGTCAGTCCACAGAGTATTTTCCCAAAAGTCTGGGGGATCATCAAGATGTTTTCTGGCAAAACTGAGACGAGCCTTTATGTTCTTTTTGCTCAGCAGCGGTTTTCGTCTTGGAACTCTGCCATGCAGACCATTTTTGCCCAGTCTCTTTCTTATGGTGGAGTCATGAACACCGACCTTAACTGAGGCAAGTGAGGCCTGCAGTTCTTTGGATGTTATTGTGGGGTCTTTTGTGACCTCTTGGATGAGTCGTCGCTGTGCTCTTGGGGTAATTTTGGTCGACCGGCCACTCCTGGGAAGGTTCTCCACTGTTCCATGTTTTTGCCATTTGTGAATAATGGATCTCACTGTGGTTCGCTGGAGTCCCAAAGCTTTAGAAATGGCTTTATAACCTTTTCCAGACTGATAGATCTCAATTACTTTCTTTCTCATTTATTTCTGAATTTCTTTGGATCTCGCGCTTCGTCATGCCTAGAGCTGATCCGTGCTGGTCGCTGAGGAAATACATAAATTTAGTGCTGTGGATCGCCAGATCGGCTTTTACCGTGGATGAAGCCCGGGGTCATCACATGTTCTTGCCGCTCCTTCGTCGGATCCGCCGGCTGCGCCGTTCTCAACCCTGCCACCTCTGCTCACTCTAGCCCGGCCTCAGCTCACGCTAAGCCGGGGCTTCCGCTAGGCCGCTGTGTTTTTCGTTGTAAAAGCGAAACTACTTTGTTTGGTCTTCCAAAAGAGGACACAACTACAAATCAGTGGTTAAGTTGTATTTACAACACTGTTCCGGAACAGTTTAACCCAAATATCCAGATGTGTGCAGTACATTTTATGGAGGACTGTTTACTGATCCTGGAAGAGTAGACTACAATGCCGGCTGTTCTGACTCACGTAAGTACGTTTTCATTTAAAGGATTTGATCATTCAAACACGAGTTTTGGGCAGTGTGGAGTAGCACTTGTTGTTTGTCATTTCTCTGATCACAAATGCAGACAGAGTTTTATGTTTACGCGGCGCGATGCAATGCAAAAAAAAGACACAATAAATCATTATAATCAGTAATTATGTCCCCACTGGATGCAACAAAAGACTCTTTTGTTTTCATGCTGACTTTAAATATTCACAAAAAAAAAATGGTGTTGGTAATGGATAACAAAAATCAGTCACGTAACAAGAGTCATGGATCATCTCCTACACTGCATTACCTCTGCACAAGTCTGTCAAGGTCATCGACACAGTATCTAAGTGCAAATCCCAGCTGATATTGGAAGATACTTCTAACAGTACATGACAGGAACGTGCAAATCTATTTTCCAAAGCAAACATCAGTCCAGCATGCCCTCCCAGACCCAGGAACATATTATTAATGAGTCAGGACTCTGTGCTGTTTAGGAAACATGTTGTTTTTCATTACCGCACAGCTACAGACAGAATGCCACAGTGGGCCGCTGCCACAGTTCCCTGGACATTACCAGGGAAAGGTAGAGAATACTAATGCAGGGCTTAAGCACAAACACACACACACAATCTCATGACCTGAGCAATGCTGGAACCGGGTTGGAGGAGCTGACTTGCCATTTTCCACTGGCCTGCAGATGCCAGCCAGAGGCAGTAAAAGAGAAGCTTCCCTTCTAACCACCCACAGAGAATGTATTTGAAATGATGACCCACAACACTGTGGCATAATCACCCAGCAAGAAGCTGCCCGATAGCGACACACACCTTCTGGCCTTTCACAACGGCCCGTGCATGACAAGCAGCCCTCCTTACCATGTGAGAAGAGAGGTAGGTGAGAGAAGAATGTAAAGAAGAATCCAAACATGTGAAAGGTCAAGCATCACACACCCACTCCAACATAAACAAGATAAATGGGGCAAGCATATCAGCAGCAACCATAAAAAAAAAAAAACACGCAGCAACTTTTTCGCAATCCGCACTATAATGCACTGGATTTGGACATTCGAAGCCGTGCTTTCCGAAGCAATGATGACCTTCTCCATCAGTGACAGATTGTGCTGATGTACTGCACCCAACTCCTCCTCTTTTTTCCCCCCATAGATCACTGTGCGATGAAAACATTGTGCCTTTGCCATTTTCCTCTCATCCGCATCCATCCACCGGCACTGGAGACATGTCATTCTCATACCTCTCATTCAAATCAAAGTGAGCTGATACAGCAGTGCTACATTAAGCTGCATTTGATGGAAATGCATCAGGGAGGTTTGTGCAGGGGGTGTAGTGTCAGTGCCATGGGGAACCTCCGAGAGGCATTTTGCTGGAAGAAATGCCTCTGCAGTGAACCCGTTATGCACAACACACGGATGCACAACCTCCAATTATGCATCTATAATAATAATAATAATAATGCCTAATATTGCATGGGTGTGATAATGCATAAAGCTATTTTAAGATGCATTGCGCAATCAAGATGCTAGACGCTATTTGTAGTAATGGCTACTAAAAATGTTTAAAAATGCATTTGTATATTTAGAAAACAGTGAAAGTTTGAATGGGAAAATATATGGGAATTGGTACTGCAGTTAGGGATTCTTTTCTGCGAATAAATAAGTAAATAAATAATAAATAAACTTCGCCATGGCGTAAAACGATCGTATTTAAGATCATAGCGCTCACCTGCCAACAGTCTGGTTGGCGAGCTGTCGCATCCGATTGAATTGCTTCTTCATTTTTGTATATTTTCTTTTTGTCTGCGTTAACACCTCGAGCGCAAAACAATCCGCATTTCGCTCAAAATAAAGGGACGTAATCCGGTGCGAACATCCCCGTTATTCCCATCACACGCCCTCATGGCAAACCGAAAGAGGGTAGAAATGTCCTAAAATGCGTATTTCAGTGCATTTTTTGCGCTGCTGCTCGGCTGAGATGCTGCTGGGCGATTCTCACATCGGCAAACTGACAGCAGCGGTACGACGCGAACGCGGTGCGGCATGGGAAGTGTAGTCTTATTACACACGATCCATGTGCCGAGTGCTTTTGAAGTAATTCGGTGGACAGACAGGTATGCAGTGGAGCGGGTGGCGTTTAGCTCGCATTGCAGCAGTTCACTCATAAAGAACGCTTTAGACAAAAATACAGTAAACGATAAGGCGACGTGGTCTTTCACAGCACAGTTAACCTTGTCTACTTAAACAGCAGCTGGACAAAAACGTTACTTTGACATTCTGATTCTGAGCAGAGAGCTTTTAGCGGGGTTAACCCTTGTTTAGCAACAGACAACCAATCATAAACAGCCTCGGTTCTTACCTCATTAAATATTCATGACCATCATGATTCAAAATTTAAAAAATAAGCTTATTTTATTATGTTTATTTATTATATGCAGGGTAACTTAATGGGTAAATGTATTTATTTATTTTTGATTTATCAGATTCTGACTTTTTCAATTGACTACATTTCATATGACATAATCTTACACATAACTCGAGGTTATTAAGCACAAATGGTGAAAAATCTTGCATGAAAGCACACCATAACGCGTTGAGTGACTATTAAGAGACAGTTGTGTTGTGTTGTGTGCCAAATGACGCACTATATGCACTTAATCTAGCACCATACTCAACCGTCTTGTGTAATTATACGATTATTTGAATAATTAAGTGTATCATCCGAGCATGTGAAGTGCCCTTTTTTTTATGGAATTTTAGTTGTGAACAAATTAATCATCAGTGCCACTCAAAACGACCATTTAAGAGACAGTTGTGTTGTGTTGTGTGCCAAATGACGCACTATATGCACTTAATCTAGCACCATACTCAACCGTCTTGTGTAATTATACGATTATTTGAATAATTAAGTGTATCATCCGAGCATGTGAAGTGCCCTTTTTTTATGGAATTTTAGTTGTGAACAAATTAATCATCAGTGCCACTCAAAACGACCATAGTAGTAACCAAGTCAGTTAGATGCTGTAATATGTAAAAACCAACAACACTACATATTAGTTTCGCGAAGGTTATTTCCATTGGGAACTGAACAAACACTGAACAAACATAGTTTTGCGAATGTTATTTCCATCTTTGTGAAGATGGCACTGCCATCTTGTGGCTTTCTGACAGCCAGCAATTGCATTATTGTCCATTGTAAGAGACAACAGATTGTATCTCAGGTAAATTTCGGTGACATTTTTTAAAGCTTGGTATGATGTATATTCATAACTCTTTTGGCAACCTTGTTGTAACTGGACAACGATATATTTTCACACATTACAATAAAAAGATGCTGTGAAAAAAAAACAGCATTTATGCTTTTGTGAGCTAAAACATTATCATGAACTGTTTATCTCAATTTGTCCTTCCAAAAATGTTTACATAATTTTGACTCTGATTAAAGATGAATTCAAAGATGCTTTACAGGAGCTGCGTAACTCAACATGAAGATGGGAAGGTGAGAAACCAAACTTGTCAGATGTAGAAATGAGAATTATAAACATTTAATTAGTATAAGACAATTAGTAGCCTATAAAAATAGAGATCGAGGTGTTGAAATGGTGATGACAGGTTACCATGTCATTTTAACAATGTTGCAAAGATGATTGATTCACACAGCCGACACAACAGCATATTGTGTATCACACATCAAAAGGCTTGTCTCTTTTTGTGAAATAGCCCTTAGCCTACCAAAAAAAGATCCAAAATAGCCAAAGCCATTTTTCACTCTCTATTGCTTGTTGGCTGCAGGAAAAAAGAGCTATGCTACTCTCTGTCAGCATTCCCTTTAAATCACAGTTGCTTGGCTCTCATTGCTGCTTGCGTAATTGAGTTCTGAAATGTTAAAATGCTCAGTTTCTTCTTATTATTAACATTTTAATATTAATCTTAAATTGAAAATCTGATGTCGCAACTCAACAGAGGTAGACTATGCATTTTAATATTAGTGTGATTATGGCAACAGCCAATGGCTCTGTTGCTGGACTTCACAAAATATTCTTTTTCTTTTCTTTCACGTTTTGCTTTTTTTTAATTTTTTTTATTTTTTTAATCAAAAATATGTACAAATTAGAATGCTGCAATGCATTCAATCATATTACTGAAGGTAACATGTTAGAAAAGTAAATAAATCAAATAATTCTTGGGCTGCAGGTTCTTCTTCATTTTAAATACAGCAATATATACATTTAACCATGTCTAGTAACTTGACAAATAAGAGTTAAATAGATGTTATAAGAATAAAATAGAATAGAATAAAAGTTAAATAGATTATCTATAAGCATTTCACAGATGTCTTTGTACATAGTTCTACAAATTAGTTTTTCAGAGAGCTTAGGTGAGTCTATCTTCTATTTTACATTTGAAACAAACAAACAAACAAACAAATTGGTTACGTTCTAGGGCGCCACCTGCTACCCACCCACCCACATTGCAGGCGATGCCCTACTTCCAACTTCAGGAGGTCCCCTGGGGGTCCCTAATGCTAAATCCACCCAGTTCTAATCTAAACTAAACTAAAGTATATGGTCCTCCTGTAACCCCACGGTGTGCACATGGGGTAACCAGTAATACCATTAATTTGCATATTAATGATTCTTTTGAGTCGTTTTTTTTTTTTACAGTGAACTGGCAAAACGCGTCAATTCATTCCATTTGGACCATTTAGTCTTTTTATTGCTCCCAACAGTCAAATTCCAAGGTAAAAAATATGTGACTTAGGCCTACTTGATGCGCTCAGGAGTCAGGACACTGGCACTCGCACTTGAGTGTTTCACCGACACCAACAGTCGTGTAAAGATTCATCACGAAGCTTTGCTTACACATCTGTTTTCAGTTCCTCGTGGGACGCAAGACCATGAGAACCAGACAAGTCGCTCTGCACAATCTGACCTGTGTTGCAGCCTGGAATTAAACCATGCCATGGTTTCGTCTGGCCAGAGGAGAAATGGCCCCACCGACTGAGCCTGGTTTCTCCCAAGGTTTTTGTCCCCTCCATTTCTATCACCAATGGAGTTTTGGTTCCTTTGGCTTGTTGGGGACACTTCATTTCTGGCAATATTGTTGACTTGATTGCATAGACACTATTGGAAGTGAACTGAGCTTAGTTGAGCTAGTTAACTAATGTAAACAAATGGAACCTTATTGTAAAGTGTTACCATTTTAGAAAATAGAGGCCACAAAAGTACAAATTTGGCTTATCATTCTTGTTTAAGCGCATAATTGTGATGGTGAGTATGGGTCACCATATTTGGCCACACGTCACTTCACTTCACTTACTTAACAATTCATTGGTCACACTGCAGGACTACTTGAGTGAACTATAAAACAACTAAAAGGTTATTAAAATTGTGAAAACCGTATTAAAAGCACCTAAAATATAAATTTTCCTAAATAGAACTCACATACATTTTAACCTAAAATCGTGTTGTTTAAGAAGGTTCATGACCATTTGTCATGTTATTTGTCAACTACAAATAGAACAATCAAAGCTTTTCAAAGCAGCTATAAAACTAACTCACCCCTTCCCTGCAAACTGGCGGTTGTGCACTCCATTAGTAGTTAATGGGGCAACAGGTGGGCAGTGCACTGAGGCCTAAGGGTTCAGAGGCCTCATTGAGAAAGTGATACTGAAAAATAGCCACTTGCTGCTCCTACCACAGGGGCCCCATTAATCTGGATGGCTGGAAATTGAGAGGACATCCTATGAGCCTTGATCTCGACCCTCTGACCCCAACTCTGTCATTCGTTTTTATTAGTCTGGAGTCAAATGTTAATCACATCTAAGCACTGATGAATCTTTTAATGCTGCCAGACTTGTGCGGTAACCGTGCACCGGCAAACAAGCCGTTTTGGATGCTCTCCTGACTGTCTTAAATCAATATGAAAGGGGCTCCCAAGCATGTACATTCCCCAAAAAGACCCCTGCCTCTGAATTTCCTTCCGAAGCTCACTTCATCATGCTCTTGTCATACTGAGAAGTGACAGGAATGTAAGAGGGGAAGAGGTCAAAGGGGAAAAGGCATATAGTGAAGAAATTACTGAAAACATGAAGCTCAAGAAAACAACGCAATTATAATTTCATTTGTGCATGGATGGTACTGTGTGTTTACTTTATGATTTACAAAATAATTCCATGAAAAATACTAACCTTAAAATTAAGTTATTGTTATGTCTTAATTTGACTTTGCTCTCTGGTGACTAGTGATTGTCTCAAAGTACAGCCGTTATTGAGCTAATAAAGCTGTTTCCCCAAAGTTCACGACCTTTAGTACCCCTGACCTTTGCTGTTGAATGTTCTGCTTTCCATTTGAACTTGCGTGTAGGATATTTCTGCTTGATATTGCCGACTTCTGACCATAAAGGTGTTTTCTTGACGTTAAGAAGATTATGTAAATATAGCAAGTCTGCTAGCAGCCAAACTGCTAAACTAGCATTTCCCCTTCAGGGGATTAATACAGAGGGTGTTTTTTTACATACCTGTCCATGCAAATATTTGCTGTTTTCATTGTTATGTAGAAATCTTTTTCTTACTGATGGATATAGACGTTTAGCATTTACTGTGCACACAGTAACAGAAATAATATACTACGTAAAAATATATATACTTAAGTACAAACTGAATGTTTTTTGGACATTTAATTGCATGTTAATTGTTATTAAATGAAATTGCATGATAGTTTAAATTGATATCAAATGCAATTGAACTTTAGAGTGCTTTTGTTACCCACTTAAATAGGAATTCAGTACATCTTTAATGTAATTTAATACTTTTAATTGATTTGAAACATACTTAAAGTAAAAAATTTCAGTTGGCATTATTGCAAAATGCAATTTTTGTAAGCGTACTTAAGGGTGTCGTGAAAGTGTCCTTTATTTAATTAATATTATCTGACAAGATAATTATCTTACACCATATATCACCCCTTCTCTTTATGATGTGGCTTTTGAA